TTCTGAAGGAAACTGGCTTCCCGTGGCCGCTGGCAATCCTGGGCATTCCTTTGCTGCTGGTAGATGTGTTTTCGATGACGTATGTCTATGGCTCTGCCTCTCTTCTCTGTTTTCTTCTTACACCAAAGGGGGCAGGATTATGACCCTCCCTACTCTGGAAAAAGGGAGCTCTTGTGGGCTAATGGTCAGGAGTCGTGGTGCCCACTTCACACATGGTTCCAAACTACCAGTTGCTCTGCGGGAAAAAGACTGGCAATTTCCCATGAAATTAACAGCCTCTAAAAACCTGCAACCATGCAACTCAACATAACAACAACTCTGATAAAGTAGTACTGGTGGCACAGTGAATGAGTACTTGACTGCTAACTGCAAGGTCACAGGTTCAAACCTAATCAGCTACCGAGGGAGAAAGATGCAGCAGATGACTCCCATAACGAGTGGTGGTGGTGGTGGTGATGTTAGGTGCTGACGAGTCGACCAGGACTCATAATGACCTAAAAGCAATGAAGCTGAGCTCTGCCCAATCCCGTGCCATCCTCGTCATCTCGAATATACGTGAGCCCATTGTTACAGTCACAGTGTTAATCTATCTCCTTGGGGGGCTCCCTCCACCTTTCCAAGCATGATGTCCTTTTCCAGGAACTGGCCTAACCTAACAACATGCCCCAAATGAAGTGAGATGAAGCTTCATTACTAAAAATTACAACCTTGGAAACCTCATGGGCAGCCCTCCTATGTCCTGTAGACTTGCAAGAAATTGATGGGTTGGGTTAGATTTTCTACTCTGGTATGACTTTGCTAATTTAGACATTATCTTCAACAACAAAAGCTCGTTTACCCAGTGAAGTCCCAGGTATAGGAACAAACACTGGGACTCCAGCGTAACTCTAGAGCACGCAGTGTAACCTGACCAGATAATATGCTCTTTTTGAATAATTCATTTTACAACTTATTTCTGAACTCCACTAAAGCACCCTAGATTGATCTAGGCTGTCCTCGCCACCTTTTTTTGAATCCTGTTGAGAATTCTATTTGCCATTCTCAAATCCCTATGGCTGACAGTTGTGTGTTGTTATGTACCGTAGTGTAGGAATTGACCCATAGCTGACTCTGGTGGGTTTTCAGAGGCAGTTAATCACACAGGAGGAGATTGCCCGTCCTTCTCCTGTGGAGCAGCTGGTGGGCTCGAACCATGTGCCTTCAGATGTACTCTCTCCCTCTCCCCCCTTCCCCACCCTGTTTAATGAAGCAGGTGGCCTCAGGCTCCTACAATCGGCTTGTTCACTGAAGGGATGGAGTTGTGGGGCCAGATCAACAATCAGAGAGGAAGGTTTACAGGGATCTTCAGTCCACTCCACTCTGTATGTCTCAGTTATTTGAGGTACAGAATTCCCTTGGTGTCTGAAACATTGGAGTTGGTTTTTCTGTTATTTGCAATTAAAAATAATTACAAAACCAAGCCGCCTCTGACCTTAGAAGTGACTCCTGTCACCAGGAGAGGTGATTCCCACTCAGGACAGGGAAAGGTGGGCTTTCCTCAAAGCCTAAATCCAAGCCCAACACTCTCCCACCCTCCCTTTCTCTTGAAACTGTTCAAGTTCCATTTCTGGTGCTTTTTTCTTCTTTTTAAAAAATCACCCAGAATTCACTTGAATTTAAAAATTGAATTTTAATTTAAGATTTACTTTATGTCAGCAATACATCTTCTTTATGTCAGCAATACAATGTAGATATTCAAGTAGTATTTCAAAGGGAAAAATAAGTTCTACTCTATTCCTTCACTTCCAATTTTCCTCCAGAGGTAAGCCCAGTCATTTCTTTCGTTTCCTCTGTTACTTAGCTTGTATTGTGAAATAACATGCATATAAAGCTTTGTATCATTTTTCAACTTTTTTTATTGTACATATTCTGTAATGGAAGATGGTGACTTACACTTGATAGATGCACACACACATACACACATACTCCCTATTTTCTCATTCATTGAAAGACATTTTATTACAGTATTTTATTGTTTACATTGTTCTTGAAGTAAATGCCATTTACAGATGAGCTATGTAGTGTGTAATGGTCACATAGTCCACAAGGAACTATGCTGTTAGTTAATCCAAAGGCTGTAGCTCTCGGGTGGTTCAGATCAATGAGTGGCTGCACAAGAGAGAGACAGGCAATCTCCTCTTGTGCAATTTACAGCCTCAGAAATCCAATGATGGGTCAGCTCTGACTCATTCCTGTCTTGGCTGCAATGAGTTATTTTTATGGTTACATTCAGTCTCCATATAAAACAGGGTTTTTCCCCCCAGCAGTAAATAATTTCATTGTCTTTTGTTTCATTCTGTATGGATTTATCACTATGAATTCATCCCAATCTCCCCAAGAGAAGCTTAGATCCCTCTCAATGTGTACAAAGCAGCACGTTTCTTGTTTTCCTTAGTGACATCTCTCCTGGAGGTCTCAGAGGTTCCTGCTCAAAACAAAGCAAGCACGTGCCTCTGCAGAGCCTCGGGATGTCAGCACCCTGGAAATCCACTTCTCTCTTCTGCATAGGATTCTCCTTTCCTGGATGACATGATTCCCTCTGTTTTGGTTTAGTTTCTTATATTAGAAGAGGATGTCCTCCTTTAGCTCCTGATAAGAAGTACAAATAAAAAAGATGAAAATGTGGAGAGCTGTCACTTCTGGAAACGTCTCTCTTCTCACTCTATGTTGTTGAAGGCTTTCATTGACTGTTGTTCAAAATTACAGGGGACTATGCTTGGGAGGGTGGAAGGACAGCGCAGGAGAGGAAGACCTTCAATGAGATGGATTGATTCAGTGACTGGGAGTAGGTGTGTTGGAGATGGTGAGATTGGCACAGGATAGGGCAGAGTTCAGGGCTGTTGTACGTAGGGTTACTGAGTTGTAGGTGACTTGACAGTACATAACAACAACATCAGCTCCACATGGCTGGCTGTATGTTCTGAATAGAAGAGACAAGTTACACTGGGCTTCACTGTAATGTGGATAATAGGCCAGGCCCCCAACTACTGTGCTCGGTGATCCCCAGCTATATATGTCTGTCATATGCCTTGACTTAGACAGTTAACCTATAGGAGTATCTTACAGACATGACAAGGTAGGAGCCTATTAGAATTCTGGGAACTGTATGAAAATTCTTGTTCAATTTGAACACTTTCATATAATCTCTTCCTAAGAAGGATTACCTGTACTATGGGCCAGACTGTTAAATGAAAGGTTGGCAGTTTGAATCTACTGAGTGCTTCACAGGAGGATGGGCCATCTCCTCTCATAAAGTATTAGAACATCAGAAAACCAGTGTAGCATCTCTGTGAGTCAAGATTGACTTGATGGTAGTAGTGAAACATCATAACAGTCCCAACATGCTCAGTTGGGAATAGCAAGGTTGGAAGTTCAAGTCCACACAGGTGTTCTGGAAAGAAAAGCTCAGAGAGCTACTTCTAGAAATCAGTTATTTCAAACCCTGTGGTACCGAGTTCTGCTCCGACACACCTGGAGTCTCTGTGAACTGGTGTCAACTCAACAGCAACTGGCCATTTGGGGTTGTTTTTGTTGTTGTTTTTAACTTTATGGTGACATTTCCTTCCACCTTCTATGGTGACAGGTGGCTTCCATAAACTACTCCAGACATAAAATCCATTTTCTTTTGTAAGTGAGGAAAGGCAGGTGCCTGATGGGGAGAGAAGCTCTTTGTTAGACTTCCAATCAGTTTTCCTGGAGGCTCTCAGAGGTAGACAGTGAGGAGAACCCCCTGACCACACTTCCAAATTGCTAGCCTGTCAAACTTTCCATAGCTATGTGACCCTGAATACATCTCTTCATTTCTCTGGGCTTTGGTTTCTGTTTCTGTAAAATGGAATGCAGGATGATGGGGTGAGGATTAAATGAGATCAGTGGGTCTAAATGCCCAGCATGGCGAGGGCCCTACAACAGGAGCCAGTGGTGTGCTGAGCCTCGTTCCCGTGATCAAAAAGGCCCCTCACCCCCATGTGGTGTTTCTCTACATTCTCTCAAGATAAGACAGCATCACCTTCATCGTGTTCTGAAAAACGCGAGCAGAATTCTAGGCATACAGCTTGTCTACTCTTTTCTCTCAGAGCCACCACCATTACTTTGGCCCCATTTCAGTGAATTAACTGGCAGTGAGAACGTCAGAGAAAATGAAGCCAGATGGACATTTCAGGAGTACAGGTAAGGTGCACATTCACAGTGTCTCTCATCCTCTGTATCCTCCAAGTCTTCGATCCTCTGAAGCACTGCCCCAGCTCTGCTTCCTACTCTTCCTTCCATTCCTAATCCTCTGGCAAGAAAAAAAGCACAGGGAGCATTCTTCCCTTGAGTGTACTAGAGCCATTCCTCCTCCAACATAAGAAGAAATTTATTCCCGCACTTCTTCTTGTCAGCTCTCTGTGGCCTTTAGCTCGCCTCACTTTTCCTCTTGCTGCATTTGGGGCTATTCCTCTGCTCCAGAACCAGCCTGCCGTCCCCTCCACAGTCCTTCACCTGAATTCCCAGGATGCACTTCCTATCTGTCCTGGGTCCTCCAATAAATCTGTTAACTGGCTGCACCCCAGCACTTTGATGTAGAAAGGGGAGCTACGGAAGCTGGCGTCCTCTTAAAGTGGAGAACTTGGGACCACTGGTGGACCTGGCAATGCTGATGAAAGTTGGCGTCCACTGGACTCAGCAAAAAGGGAGTTTTTCTCCTGCATTCAGTTTGAATCTGGTAGCAACTCTATGGAAGAAAAATGCTCTACAGACTCAGAAAGCAACCTGCTGAAGAATAAGCTTCAAGTAGGTTTTGTCTTGACCACAGTGGGTCTTGTTGATGACAACAGACACACAGTGAGGGGAATGTTTGAAGTAGGTCTTATTGATGAAATGCTGAGGTCAAGTCAATACTTGGAATAAACAGAATGGGGTAAAGGACAAGGTCATTTGGACGCTGTCTGGGAATGAAGGTGGGGGCACCCAGCGACCTCTTATACTCCAGTTGTCTCCTTTTTCAGACTCACACAAACAGGCAACCTGCACTTGGTCTTTGCCACAGGAGAGCGACTTTTCCCAAGGGTCGTCCTTAGCCGTTCCTTAAAATTCTCTCCAGCGAAGTAATAGAGCAAAGGGTTGAGGCAGGTGTTGGCTGCGGCCAAGGTCAGCGTGATGACCACGGCTTTGTGCAGCGAGGTCTTGCATATGTCCCACGTGACCAGATGGAGGGTCCTCAGCACGTGGTAGGGCAGGAAGCACAGGAGGAAGATGACCAAGGCAATGATGATGGTGGTGAGCGCTTTCCGGTGAGAGCCCCGCAGCCCGGATTCCGGGACCTCCACCTTCAGCAGAGTGCGGATGATGAGCAGGTAGCAGACGCTGAGAGTGAAGAGGGGCAGGAAGAAGCCCACCACCAAGGCCACGTGGTTCATGACCTGCAGCTTCCCAATTTTGTGGTTGTTCAGCTCCAAGCATGAAGTCACGTTGTTGTTCTGCTCAGACCCGTTGTTGAGGAGCAGAGCCGAGGAAGCCATGATGAAAGTCCATATAATCCCACACAGGATCCAGGCACTCCTGATGCTGGTGGCGTGGAGCAGCCGGAAGGGGTGGACAGTGGCCAGGAATCGCACGACACTCAGCACAGTCAGGAAGTAGATGCTGCTGTACATGTTGACATACATGGCGTAAGACATGAACCTGCAGGCCAGGTCCCCAAATATCCAGTTGGAGCCTCTGAGGTAATAGTCAACCCGGAAAGGCAGGGTGGTTGTGAAGAGGAAATCCGAGATGGCCAGGTTTAACATGAAGACATTCACGGACATGGACTTCTTATAAGGCTGCAGGAAGACAAATATGGAGAAGCCATTCCCCAAGGCTCCCCAGATGAAGATGATCAGGTACACAACGGGGTAGAATTCTCTCTTGAAGTTTTCAATTGTGCAGTCACTGTCGTTGTTGCTGTTGTTTGGCTCCATTTCTGCTTTGGAGGCGAACAGAGGCAAGGAAATAGGTTTCCCGTTCATACTGCGTTAGAAAGAAAACAGACACAAGAAGTTATTTTGGTGCATTGTCCTTCTCTGACCTCTCTTACTTCCCCATATTTTAATTAAAAATAGGAGGAAGCACTGGTTTTTCTTTGAATGTTGAGTAGAAAAAGAATGGTTCAGTCTTTACTCTCTGCTGCATATGTGATAAACTTTTTGTAACTTTTACATTTACATGATAAACTTTCTAACTTAAAGAATGTATATAGACATTAACTAATGTGGCAGAGATTAAAGCCTCACACTTCAGGAATGCTGGATTTCGTCCCCATGTTGGCATGACTACCTCTCTGTGACATTATAATGTCTGTCTCACAGATATTAGACATTTACCCCCAAACAACAGAGCCAAGCAGGATGTGGCACAGCGTGCTGAAAGAATTCTCAAACAACAGTTCTAGATCCAGTGAAGGTGTTTTTCACATGTTGCTGTTATTACGTATCATCGAGTTGACTGTGACTCAGAGACCCTCTGAACAACACATCTGAGCTTTGTCCTATCCTGCACTGTCCTTTCCACCCCTAATATGCTTGAGCCCATTGTGAAAGTCACTCCATCAGTTGTATCTTGTTGAAAGTCTTCCTTTCTCTCTAAATCTCCACCTTTCCCAGCATCACCTCCTTTTCCAATGGTAGGTTTCTCTTGAGAACATGCCCAAAGTTCATGAGAGGAAGTTTCATCATCCTCGCCTCTAAGGTGCACTCTGGTTGCACTGCTTTTAAGACAGACTTGTTTATTCTTTCACATATAAAGAGAAAATCAAGACATTCTCATAGTAAGAGAAACTAGGAAAATATATTGCCAGATACTGAAAGAAAGGGTCACTAAAAATGGCCATGCATGTCCATGTAGTTTTCAGACAAAAAAAAGGACCTTTTTCTAAACATAAAGAACCAATAAAAGAAGGAATAGTAGTATTTTAATAAAGGAAGAAATAACACAATAAGCAAAAGTATATGTAAATGCAATAGGGTTTCCTTCTTTTAATATTTCAAAATTATTAAAGCCCAAAGTAGACTATGCTCTGAAGTTCTAGTGGCCTAGTGGTAAGAAGCGGGTCAGCAAGTCCAAATGTATGAGGTTCAAATCCACCAGCTAGCTATTCCATGGTAGAAAAATAGGCAATCTCCTCTCCTGCAATTAACTGTGTCTGAAAATCCACTGGAATTTCAACCCAGCTAATGTACTGGTTAGGACTCGATAGAACACAACAACAATGGTTTTAAATGTTGCAAAATTACTAAATACAATTGTAAATGAGATAAAATAAGGAGACATAAAGAGAAGTAGAGTTTATACACTTCACTTGAACTGGTTAAAATGATAACACCAATAGACTATGATAAATAAATCAGGAAACACACACGCACACATACACACAAGCACACATACCAGCAGTCAGGAAATAAAGGGACTAATTTCACTCGGAAAATTGCACTGGAACCTCTCCAGAGTACTGAGAAGTAATGATGTCAGTCTAGAGACTAGGGTACACCTGATCCAAGCCATGGTCTTTGCAATTACTTGCTATGCATCAGAGAGCTAGACAATGACTAAGGATGATAGAAGAAGAATCAATGCCTTTGAGTTGTGGTGCTTGAGAAGAGTCTTGAACATACCATGGACAACCAAGAAAACATTGGGGAGAGTGAAACCAAGTTTCTCCTTGGAGGCAAGACTGTTGAAGCTCCATCTCACATACTTTGGGCATGCGGCCAGAAGGACCAGTCCTTGGAGAAGAATATCATGCTTGGAAGAGTGGAGGGACAATGCAGCGTAGGAAGACACCAGATGAGATGAATTGACACACTAACTGGGGTAATGGGAATAGATGTGTCAGAATCAGTGAGACTGGCTAAGGATAGGACAGGATTCAGAGCTATTGCACATATGAATCGCAAGGCAACATGACAGCATATAACAACAACAACAACAAACATATATATAATGTAATGACTGAAACAACCCCTAAAAAGCTACAAAGAAATGTATTAAAAATGCTATCTCTATCCATTCATTTGTTGATGGACACTTGGGTTGTTTCCAACTCTTTGCTATTGTGAACAAAGCCAAAATAAGCCTAGGTGTGCATTATGATGAGTGAAATATCTCAGTCACAAAAAGACAAATACTACATAATGCCACTGCTATAAAAGAGGACTGACATAAGGACTGGGGGAAGATTGAGAAAGAGGGCATAAGTAATGTATACTGCATTGAAACAGATGAGGGAGAGGACTGTTTAAAAGGGATATATGATAAGGTGTTACTGTTATAATAGGAATCCAGAATTAAGGCAGCATAGTGGAGTGGACCCTGGCTAGTCTTCCCCGTAGTACCTGAGAAAAAACATTTGGAACAATATGTCAACAGAGAAGTGCCAGATGTGCAGGCTGGATTTAGAAGAGGTTGTGGTACTAGGGATGTTATTGCTAATGCTAGAAGGATCTTGACAGAAAGCAGAGAATACCAGAAGAATGTCTATCTGTGCTTCATTGACTGTGCAAAGGCTTTTGACTGTGTGGATCACACAAGCTATGGCTAACTCTGACAAGAATGGGAATTTGATTGTGCTAAAGCAAAACCAATACTTGGACCAAGAGGCAGTTGTCAGAACAGAGCAAGGAGGCACTACATGGTTCAAAATCAAGAAGGGGGTCTGTCAGGGATGTATTCTTACTCAATACCTTTTCAATCTGTATGCAGAACAGATCATCTGAGACGCTGGGCTGTACGAGGAAGAATGTGGCATCAGGATTGGTGGAAGAATCATCAACAACCTGCGTTACATAGGTGACACAACGCTGCTTGCTGAAACTGAGGAGGACCTGAAGCGTTTGCTGCAGAAGGTCAAGGACTACAGCCTTCAATGTGGATTGAAGCTCAACATCAAGATTCTCACCACTGGGCCAATTGGCAGCATCAGTATGGATGGTGAAGAGATTGAGATAGTTAACAGTTTAGTTTACTTGGTTCCACAGTCAGCACTCTTGGTAACAGCAGCCTGGAAATCAGGAGAAGAATTGCATCTGGGAAAGTCGGCTGTGAGGGACCTCTCAAGAATACTGAAGAACAACGATGTCAGGCTGGAGACTAAGCTGCGCCTGATCCAGGCTATAGTCTTTGCAATTATGTGCTATGCATCGGAGAGTTGGACAGTGACGAGGGATGATAGCAGGAGAATTGATGCCTTTGAGCTCTGGTGCTGGAGAAGAGTGTTGAATATACCATGGACTGCTAGGAGAACAAACAGGTTTGTCCTGGAGAAGGTGAAGCCAGAATGCTCCTTGGAGTCAAGGATTCTGAAGCTTCGTCTGACATACTTTGGGCATGTTGCAAGGAGGGACTGGTCCATGGAGAGAGACATCATGTTTGGGAAAGTGGAGGGACAGTGCAGGAGAGGAAGACCCTCAATGAGATGGATCGATTCTGTGATTGGGGTAGTGGGAGTAGTTGTGTCAGAGACAAAGAGGTTGGCACAGGATAGAGCAGGGTTTAGGGCTCTTGTACATAGCGTCGCGATGAGTCGCAATTGACCCGATGACACATAACAACAACAACAACACTGGAGTGGATTTAGAGGGAGGGATTATATAACAATGAAAGAATTTTTCTTTTACTTTTCAAAGAGAAGCGCAAATTGGGGGAGGGGGTGGGCAGGGAGAAAAGTGCAACAATGAATGAACGGTAATCCAAAGTCTCTGTAAACTTTCATTAAAATTAATTTTTTAGAAATGCTATCCCAGCTGATTACTGTCGAGTCAGAACAGATGTGTAGCTGCCCTTCCAGCACATTCTAGGAGGCTGTAAATTGCATGCAAGGAGATTGCCCATCTTTCTTCTATGGAGCCGCTGGAGGATTCATGCTGTCAGAGAGGCACCACCTTTTGTTTAGCAGCACGACTTTCATGGGCTGCATCACCACAGGAAAAAAATGCTTTAAGTAAATGAGAAAAGAATTCTAAACCAATTATCAAGTAACTGATAGGAAGGCATGGGAACAGAGGCTACAAACTGAAAGCAAAATACAAAATTAAAGATCTATGTTTAACTTATCAGTTGTTGTTGATTGTCATTGAGTCAAGCACAACTCACAGCAACCCTATGAACAAAAGACCTGAAGCCTTTTTATAAATATCGTCATTTCTCAAAGTTTATAGAGTTTCCAGAGGCATGTTGTTTAGGAAGTGGATGCCACTCCTGCTTCCAAAACTTATCAGTAACGACATTAAATATAAGTAGTCTAAATATACCAATTAAAATATATATTTACAAACTAGATTTAAAAATATGACTGTATGCTGTCCGGAGTCATGGGGCGATTCAGTTAACTCACTCTGCTGGTAACGAAGAGGTTGGAAATTCATGTTTACCCAAATTGTCTTGAAAAGCTTATGAGCCTACTTCTGAAAACTCAGACATCAATCCTCTTAACGTTTTCATTTCTACCCTCACACACGTGAAGTTGCCACGAGTTGAGCATCAACTCAGTAACAGCTGGTTTTGTTTGCATAGTGAACGTGAATGCAAAATTATTACATTTATAGAAAAATATAGGATAAAAGTGACTGATAAAAGGGTTGGGGTAAGACTGAGAAAAACTGGATAGATTATGTAAACTGAATTGAAACAGATGAGGAAGAGAACAGTTTAAAAAGGATATATGATTGGGTATTATGATTATCACAGAAATCCAGAATTAAGGTTGCATGGCAGAGTGCATTGGGGACTGGAGAGGCGGGGGGATTGTATACCAACGAAGAAGTTTATCTTTTGCTTTTCAAAGAGGAGCAAACTGGGGGAAGGGAAGGTAAAGAAAAAAGTGCAACAAGGAATGAATGAAAATCCAAAATCTCTGTAAATGTTTATTAAAATTAATAAAATAAAATTTAAAAAAATCTTTACAATTTAGGATTAGACAGAGTTCTAA